CACCAGGCCAGGGTCGGGGCCGGCCTTTCCCTGCAGTGCTGATGTCCGTGGCGTGTTCGGAGCCCTCGGTACCCACCGTAGATAGATCGGGACCAGATTGCGGCAAAGAAGGAAAAACTCGATTTCGCTGCGGAGGTGTCCGGGAGGAACGGCGGTGGCTAGTTCCTGCCGGGCTGCGCAGGTAGCAGGTGGCAGAGCACCGAGGGCCTGCAGATTGCGATGCGCGGTTCTTGGTGCGACACAGGTCGAGTGCCAAAAATCGCGGATAACTATTGACAGTGTAAGCTGGTGGCCACGTAATTGTTTTCCACGCTGAAGGAGTGCTTTCCTGCTTAGAAAAGGTGATCGCACCAGGTAGATTCACCTGAGGATAGGCTTAAGGCCTTTGAAGATGTCCTCTGATGAACGATTCAGAAGTTGAGGAAAACTAGTGATGAGGAACATAGGCTCAGCTCACAATTTTACACTGACTTTCTGCTGGACCGGTGACACGCTGTCAATCACAGCCTTTCGTTTCAAGTAGTTGCAGGTCACCACATGTGTTTTTGAGCCACACAGAAGAGTTTTTTCCTTCTGTTACTAAAAGGTTGCCGGTTATGACTCACAGTACGATCTCTTTGTAACACACAGTACAGAGCAGGAAGATAAAGGAGGATCTAGTATGAAATTAAACTAATAGGTAAACAGGGTGATCAACACCCTGGGTGCGAACAGCAAGGTATATCAGCGGTGAAGGCGAATGCTAGGCGCAGCTATATTGTCATGTCTCTGTGAAAGAGTTGTTAGAGTGTCCTTCGTGAATCTGATTGGGTTTTCAGTATGTCTTTTTTCTGGCATCCCTCTCCTAATTTTTAACAAATTTGCATGGCGAGGGAATTACTTTGACCTGAAGGCTGATAAAAGTATTCCTGCAAAGTAGTCTGCTTCTGAAAGACAAGGGTCATAAGAAGTTTTCAGTAATTTGTGAAAACAGTGTCAAAGGGAACACTGTCTTGACAAAGTTTCCATACCCTTCTTCTTCTCTTGGTCTATCTAGGGGACTTTGTGTCTAATGAGCTTTCCCAACAAAAGGCAACTTGCTTTTGGTGCCTTGTGAGATGGGGGTTGTTAAGGTGTGTAGTTACAATTTTGAATCGCTTGTTCTTTGCTCTTATGTGGTATGTATCTTGGTCTAAAGAGGAGCAGTCTTGAGGAAACCCATGGCGCAATGTTAGCAACGTTTCAGTAGATGTTTTCTCACTCTTCCTCCTCCCCCTCAGGCCCCAAGTACAGTCAAGTTACTCCAACCGTAGTGTTATGTGAGGTGCTAAGTTTTTCATTGTGCAATGTCTGTCTTTGGATGCTTGCACAGAGCTGAGGATCATTCTGTGTAGGGCACCCTCCGTGCCTAACAGCCGTTGTGTCAGCATGATGGTAAATGTGTGTTTACGGCGTTCTACTTTTGATAATAGTTGGGGATATGCGGCAAAGAATGGCTTTGTGTAGACTAAAGGCTACAGGAAGGAAGACTGGCATGTGAAAGCGCTGGAGGAAGTAGCAGAAAATGGGAGATTTGTGAGAATTCTGTACAGCCAAAGCAGCAGAACAGCTGGCATTCTTTTCTCCGGGGGAACTGTAAATAAAAAAAGTAAGATATTTGCTTACTAGTAAATAAGTTTTGGTTACTAGTGTGCAGCTGTGAGGGTTTTCCTGTAGAGGCGTGGAATGATGAAAAGCCATCCTCGTGCTGCAGCAGCCTCTGGTTTGTGGGCAAGAAAGCATAAGGAAAAGGTCAGACTTCGCTTAGGAGCTGTTTCCGTTTCTGGCAATGAGGGGAAAGAAATCACGTGTGGTTTGTTAATTCAGCAGATCTGTCAGCATCTATCCTGAGATGCCGGTTTGGAATCCATTTGGCTATTTTACCCACCTCAGCTGTTTTGCGCACTTTGCTCAAGGAGGCTGTTTAGCACTTGAATGCTATTAATCTCTTGAGAGAGGAGTAGCAGTGCTGAGGTTGGCTTGTGGGGTATGTATCTTCTTCTCGGGAATTAGTTTGAAACTTCAATTCCTGATCTGAGAAATGATATCAACTTCTGGTTCTAAGTATATTTGTTGTCAGTTGACCTCATCCAAGCGTTTAGCTTGCGTAGCTAAACTTCAAAAACAGGTTCTTTGGGCACTCCAGTAAAGCCTTATGGAAATAGAACCAGCAAGAAGCAGTGGATCAGACCCTGCCCTTGCAGCGGAGTGTCTCTGCTGAATTCAGGAATGTAAACAGAAAGAAAACCAAACTGAGTCATTGCAAAAGTTTTACATTAAGCCTTGGCCTCAGCACAGGTAGCAGGAACGGTAGGATCAGTTCTGAAAGGTAGCCCGATCTAGCCTGATCTAGTTGAGAGGCATCCCTGCCCATGACAGGGAGGTTGGATTAGATGATCTCTAAAGTCCCTTCCAGCCTATGCCATTCTATCATTCTATGATTTTACATTGCGGCAGGGGTCTGGAACTGCAGCTGAGTCACAGCTTTGCATTGTCGTAAGCTTAGAATGAGGTTGTGATTCATCTTAATTTAGCTCAAGTGAATTGCAGGTAAATCCAAACCCGTTGCTGTTATGGGAACTCCTGGGAAGCATGGCGTGTCTGACTGCTAATTGCTGTAATATTTCAGTCTGATGATGGTAGGCAATGCATAGGTAACCAAGATAGGATCTCTGGAGTCTCATTTGTGCAAAGGTGGAGGAGATGCGCCCATAAGACATGTATGCCTCATGTCAAGAGATGGAGAGAAAAGGCTGTAAGTAATACGAAGGCTGCACTCAGTATGTGAAACGTTGACTAATGGCTTGAACATTCAGTAAATGAAATTCAATCAAGTTTTTCTTACTCAAGCATTTTATTCTGAGCTATTTTTCTTCCAGACGGCTCCCCGTGATGATTCCACCATCTGCAGCAACCTCTGTCAGGGATGCTGCACTTTTGCCAAGCATGGCTTCTCGGGAAATCTGGAGGTCACGAGTTCCAGGCTTTTCTGGATCGGTCACCCAGCACATAAGTCATCGGGCCAACAACTTCAAGAGACATCCGAAAAGGAGGAAACACATCCGCCCTTCACCACCGCCACCGCCAAATACTCCATGTCCTATTGATTTGATTGACTTTGGGGATCTCCAGCCTCAGAGGTCTTTCCTAGAGCTCCTGTTTAATGGGTGCGTTCTCTTTGGGCTCGAGTTCAGCTATGCCATGGAAACAGCCTATGTTACCCCTGTGCTTCTTCAGATGGGGCTTCCCGACCAACTGTACGGAATGGTGTGGTTCATCAGCCCTATATTAGGTAACTTTTCTTTATGCTATTTCTTCCCTCTTGTTTTTTTCCGCTTCACGGGGGTTATATGTTTTTGTTTTCTCTACCTCAGCCAGCTGTTCACAAGTGTATTCTGCTCTCGAGGTGAAGAAGCACTAGCCCTTGTTTTAGACAACCAAATGGAGAATAATTTGTGCTGAGTCTTGCCTGAAACGGGCACGGTGTGACCAAAAGGTCTGTTCTTTTAATGGCTTCTCAGCTTCTTACATCTTGTGCTAGTGTAAGCTTTGGTTACTCCGTTCCTATATTTAAAAATTAGCAAAAGAGGGTCAGTGTATCCATTTATATCCCTATGAAAAAAAGCATACGGACAGAGTTCCCGAGGGTGTGAGAAAAAAGCGGAGCAGGATTACCTTCTCCTGTTTAACTTTGTGAAATGAACAAGGTGTTGCAATGATGAAAGGCTGTCGATTGCTACTGTTAACGGGCATTGGATTACTTGCCTTAGTACGGAGGCAGGACCAGGAGTGTATCCATTACCATGGGAAGAACCATAGGATGGGCTGTTACCACTCGGAAACTTGTTCTGCCTGTTCTTGTACTCGTGGGATGTGCTTTGGGAGAAGAGAGTAGATAGGCCCTACTCACAGGCTGGCCCAGAGTAATACAGACATCTTTCCACCTCGCATGTTTGCTTCCTGCAAGGGGTCTGTCATCTAAGAACGGCGTAAATGAAATAGCTCGTAAGAAACAGAGTCCTTACTCTTCACTCGATGTCAAACTGCTATGTTAATGATGCAGAGCAAACCACCGTGACAGCGAGCAGCGGCATGTTAATGTTATTCAGTCCCCAACCTGGGAAACTCCAGGAAGTACACTGAGCGTGCACCTGGATGACTATTATCAACTAGGGATATCGCAATGCCATGGTGTCCTGCCTTTAACTGCCTTTTAAACTGCCTATTTTAACTCCTATTTTAACTCCCCTGTGACAGAGCCTTGTAGAAAAATGCTACTTATTGGTGATTCCTTTTTTCTAGGGTTCTTGCTACAGCCTTTGCTGGGGGCCTGGAGCGACAGATGCACATCAAGATTTGGGAGGAGAAGACCTTTCATTCTGGTCTTAGCAGTAGGTGCGTTTTTTAGAAACGATGGGCATAAAACTTGTAAAGTAGAGACGTCGCGTATCTCTCTTCTATGACGTCTCCAGTGGCACCAGGCTGAAGAAAATGCCTCTGAAGTGTCGGGTATTGTGGCTGTGAAGAATGTGGTGAGTAGCACTGAGGTGATCCTTTGGCAGCTGGAGATCCGCAGCGAAAAGCTGCTCTTGTCAGAATCTGAAGAGATGATGTTTTGAGGGTCAAGAATGTTTTTCTTTGGCTGAAAACAACTCCTGACGTTTGTAAGCGTGAACGGTGGAGAAGGGTTATGTACGTTGTATAAGCTGCGCTCATTCCCCAGACTGCGATGATCTGAATGAGCAGTAGTACTTGCTGCAAGGCTGTGTGGGTAGTACAATGCTTTCAGAGAATGGAGTGATGCAGGGTTTTTTGCCTTAGAAGCAATCGATTGATTGATTTTGATTTGGTTATATTCCCAGGAGCATTGCTTGGGCTCTCGCTTATGCTGAATGGCAAAGATATAGGGAACGTCTTGTCTGACACTGCGAATAACCACAAATGGGGGATCATTCTTACGGTCTGTGGTGTTGTCCTCATGGACTTCAGCGCGGATTCAGCAGATAATCCCAGTCATGCCTACATGATGGACGTATGCAGCCCGGTGGATCAAGACAGGGGCCTCAACATCCACGCTTTGTTAGCAGGTATGCTTTCTTGGTGCTTCCTGGGTAACGTGAAGCCTAAGTGACAAGCCTTGCTGTGAGAAAGCAGAGTGTAAATCACTGGTCTTTTCCTGTGTAAGCATAATAACCAAATACCTGGAGAGATAGCACTAATTAACTTTCAAAACAAACTTCTGCTTACTGCACAAGGCTTTTGTAACTACCAAAAGTTAAACGAGACACAATCCTGGGTTGATCATCTTAAGGTTCCTCACGTCATTTATAACACCTACGGAAACAAAATTTTCTCTTGAGGGAGGAGGTTTGGCTTCCTGCAGGTGTGGAAAATGCCTTTTTTAGTTGCTCTGTTGGAGGGGAAAGTGCATACTGGGTGCTATGATCCCTCATTGCTGTCGTCTTCGATTGCTGTACTGCCCTAGCCTAGCTTTCTTCTCCATCAGGAGACTTTCACGCTCCTGAATGCGTTCATAAGAAAGAAAGGATAGTGTCGTAAGGCTTTCATCATGTGAATTGAGTAGGAGAGGTATCTGATGCCCTCCGAACTTCCCTGTTCATCGGTAGCGATACACTGGCAGTTTTGTACGCTGTCGACACATTGCTGAGTAATGAGCTTGCTACGCTTCTGAAGTGATTTGATCTGTCTCAAGCGCAGTTAGATCTGCGTTCCTCTGACAGAGTGAGGAAAGTGAATTTTCACTTGCTTTCAGGAAAACAGTCTTAGCTGACTGATTGCAGAGCCTTACCACGAGGCTGGTGGATACTTCTATTTTACGGCCTGAAATAGCTGAAGGTAAAGTGGTTTGTTCTCGGCAAAGAAAGAACTACTGGTTTTTAATTATTTACAGCATGACTTTTACAGCACTGATCTTCTCCCTCTTTCTGTACCGTGTTCGTACATCCAGACTGTCCTTGTGGTGCGGATAACTGTGTTTATTACTGCATTTGAATTGAAAAGGGGCCGAGTGGAAAAACAGAAGTGACATGTTGGATTTTACCCACGAATCATTAAACAAATGGTGCTGTGCTGTTACTGACTTTCAGGATTGGCTAGGGAAGATAATCTCAGCTCTGTTTTTCCACCAGGTCTTGGAGGTGGCTTTGGTTATGTTGTTGGAGGAATACACTGGGATAAAACCAGTTTTGGAAAAGCTGTGGGAGGGCAACTTCGCGTCATCTATGTCTTCACCTCAGTTATACTGACTGTTGCTACTGTGCTGACTCTAATTAGCATTCCTGAAAAGCCCTTAAGGTCCTTTAGCAGGAAGAAAAAGGTGATGAAGAGTCCGAGTCTTCCTCTGCCTCCTTCTCCACCTCTCTTCTTTGAGGAGGGTGCAAATGAAAACTTTATTTCTCATAACTCAGCTCACTTATATACAAGTTTTACGAGTCCCGTTTCCCCTCTCAGCCCTCTCACACCCAAATATGGCAGTTTTGTCAGCAGAGACAATTCCTTGACGGGAATTAATGAGTTTGCATCGTCGTTTGGGACTTCAGATATTGATAGTGTGCTTATAGACTGTTTTACAGGCGGGCACAATAGTTACTTAGCCCTTCCAGCAAGCTTGCCCAGGCAGCCCGTCAGTGTCAGCTTTCCTCGGGTGCCTGATGGCTGTTACCAAGGAGGAAATGGAGAGCTGGAGCAAGGGGAGAGCAGCGTAACACCGGAGCCTGACGGTGAGGCGCTAAGGGTGGGCTCACTGGATGCGGGAAAGCCACGGTCGTCAGGGATCCTGAAAAGACCTCAGACCTTGGCCATTCCAGATATTGTAACAGGACACTGTCCAGAAAATAGCAGAAGAAGAAACGTAACCTTCAGCCAACAGGTAAGGGCAGAAAATCGATGATACGACCATGTAAACCTGAGCATTACTTTAATCTCTGCATATAGTTTTAAATGTGTGGTGCACAAATTGGTCATTTGAGACTGCTTATGATAGTTTGCTCATGAAAGTCATTATGGGAACAGCTTATCTGCTATGACTTTATTGCTAAAATAGCGGGTAGGGTGTGAATTATAACTGGCAGTCTGTCAACTGCCCTCGTTAGTGTTGCAGAAACGGGAGCGTTGTGCTCTCACTGGGCCACATGTGAAAGTTAAATCGGTATTTTTAGCCCTGCTTTACCACCCAGGGAGCTACCGTGTGAGAGCAGAAAAAGATACGTTTTTATTGAGCCTGTATCTTCCCTTTCCACAGAAATACCTGCAAGATAGGGCCAGGGATAGGATTCTCCCATGAGCTTCTCCTTATGGCAGTCATTACACCTGGTTCCATCAGGGAGGTGAGGTTTCCCTTACCCAGGGATAAGACTCTGGAATGTCTGAGACCTCTGTATGCTGGCCCACTTTTTTATGATCTGGGATGAGGTAAACTGTCCTCTGTTGTTTTTTGGTGTTTTTTTTTTTTTTTTTTTGGGGGGGGGGAGGGGGATGTGTGTGTGTGTGTGGTTTGTTGGTGCGGTTTGTTTGTTGCTGTACTTCAATCCAGTTTGTGAGAGCACACTTAACTTAGAGCCCGGATTTTACATACTGTGCACGTAGAGACTGAGCATCAAGGTTAGCAAGCGATGAGAACGTGTTTCAGTTAAAACCGGCCTCTTCTTTCTTGATGTCTCTAAAACTTCAGGAACCAAATTCACCTGAATGTGAGTACAGCACCTATTAAAAGCAATGGAATGTATGCCTTTCCTGTGCTAGCAACTGGATGTGGCTGCCAAATACCCTAGAGAGGTGAAGAGTCCTGTTTCTAGTATACCAAAAGCTGTAGTGTAGTGCTGCCATTTAGTGCTTGTTCCAAGGCTGAACTTACAGCTTAGCTAAATACACCGGTTTTAATCTCCCAGTTAACATACTGCAGCAGCAGAGTATGCTTTCAGATGACCAGATAGGTGTGTAATATTGCATAGGTTTGCTCAAAGGATGTTTGGGTTTTTCTTACTGTGTTTGTTGACCTGGGAGTTCTTACGGTGCAGGTTGCTAATATCTTGCTGAATGGTGTTAAGTATGAGAGCGAGCTGAATGGATCAGGCGAGACCTCTGAGCAACCGCTCTCCGTGAAACTTCTTTGTTCGACTGTCTGCCACATGCCCAAGGCTCTTCGTAACCTCTGCATCAACCACTTCCTAGGTATTCCGAAAGTGTTGTATTGCTTTCACTGTGAAGTAGTCTACCTTGGGTGAATGTTTTTAAATATTTTACCTATTGCTGCAATTGCTGCTAACTAGACAGGACACGATTCGTTCCATATGCACTCACCAATAAGGTACTTTCTGGTATTTAGTTTCTTAGAACACTGAGAAAGGGAAAAAACCCAACAAACTAACAAAACAGTAAAGCCTTAAAAAGGCTTCTTAAAAAGGGAATAACAAAGGCCTAAATCAGGGCATCCATTAAATGGGATGTTTACACATGGATGAGAAATGCCACTGAACTGAGACCTGGAAACTGTCGACTTTTTTTGTTTGTTTTTTTTTTTAACTCTCTGAAACTGGCATTATGAAGTAGAAAGATGAGATTAGTCTATTCCCCTGCCTACAGCTGAGACCGCTGTTCACTTTCCTTCCTTTGACAGCTTGTGTATAGGGGTCCCAGAACAGGCCGTGAGGAGGTGTGGAACGTGAGGCTGCAGGAGTGCCTGTAGCCAGCGCACTGTTACCTTTACTCTTCCTGTGTATGACTGATGGTTAGGAAGGAGGTGCAAGCCATGCGATTTACACAAAATTGGACAGCAGGTAACAGGCAGTTAATACTTATTGGCTGTGAAAGGAATTAAGAGATTGCCTGCATCAGTGGGCCTGATGCTGGTTTGTGAGTAGGAGTTTTTAACTCTGTCAGAAGCACTCTAGAGGGTGCAACCGTGACATAAGAAGCACTCCTGGTTCTGTGTGGGAGGACAACAGCAACCTGAAACAACTATGTGATAAGCCACTCTGTGAAACCAAGCATTGTGTCCTGTCAAAACCTGAAGGCAGCTCAGACTGCTGTAATCTGTTTATTTGTCTTACTAAACTAGTATTTTGTGGCCTGCGGTCAGCCTCTGGGATTCCACATAGGAATTCAAAGGATAAATCTTGGTCTTTAAAATCCTGAATGTCTTTGACAAGCATTGTAGCATAATGCATGGGTAACAGCAGTCTCAGATAAACGTGGCTGAACGTTATGTAATACTCATGTTGCAGAACCTGTCTTCAGTTGTGATTTGTAATACCTAATAGCTGCTATGTGCAGCTAATAGCATGCGTGTAAGCTTACGAGGGGAAAGAGACACTCTGCAATCCTAATAGGTTAATTCTGGCTTCTTTCAGGATGGCTTTCATTTGAGGGGATGTTACTCTTCTATACCGACTTCATGGGAGAAGTAGTGTTTCAAGGGAATCCGAAAGCACCTCACAACTCAGATGAGTATCAGAAGTACAACGCTGGGGTCACCATGGGCTGCTGGGGAATGTGCATCTATGCGTTCAGTGCTGCTTTCTATTCAGGTACTTAGTACAGCCATCTTAGCCACTGCCCTGAGAAAGACACACCCGCTTTTCAAGCGGTGTTTCTGCGACAAGTAGTCTGGCGTTTATGTTGCGTGTAGCCTTCCACATGGCTCGAGTGCTGAAGCAGTGGTATTACCTCTGCTAGTTAGCTCGGCCCGCACCGACAGTGGATGAGGTCAGCAGTCCAGTGAAAGCACATCTCTGTTAGTATAGAGTTCCTTTCCCAAGCAGCATTTTGAAAGTACATTGAATTCAGAAATACACACAGCTAGCATAGGTGCGGTTCTGATGCATCAGCACGCGGTGCCTGTGTGCCCCTGCCGGAGTGCCCCAGTGTTGCGTGCCACCCCAGCACCATGTCGTGTGTCTGCCTCGCCCCTGACAGTTCCCGTTTACCCCTTTTGGGCAGGAGGAGTTGCCGGTCTTCAGCTCTGCCGTGCCCTCCACACAGGTAGGGCAGTGAGGCTGCATCGTGGCAACGGGATTTGGAAGGGGACCTTGGCGCTTATGTGAGAGCCACCAGTTACTCAAAGGTGTAATGGTTGCCACTGAAATGTGGCTGCATAATGGCTGGGCTGCAGGGCCCGAAGGTGCGCCCCTCGGGTCTGCTGACTGGCTAGTGGCGGGGAGGGCCACAGTTCACCCCAAATGCCATGCCATTGTCTTGCAGCCGC